CAAAAAATCGAAAAATTAGGAAGGAAATTAAAAATTGAGATGGAAAAAAACGAAACAGTTTTGCAATTTTTCGGTTTAGAATTTTCCAAGTTCTTCATTTTTCATTTTTTACTTGTTCAACATAAGGACACATTTATTCAAACTGAAATTTTTGTTTCCAATTTTTCGGTTTTTCATTTGATGATTTTCAATTATCTGATTTTTCAATTTTTAGAATTCTCAATTTTTCGATTTTTAGATTTTCGACTTTTCAAATTTTCGATTTTTCAGTCATTCCATTTTTGGCTTCAATTTTTTAACTTTCCAGTTTTGGAACTTTTGGATTTAAAATTTTTTCTTGTCTAGATTTTTAATTTTTCACTTTTTTGATTTTTCATTTTTCTACAAAAGAACTAAATTTATTGAAACTGAAGTTTTGAAAATTCGGAAAATTGAAAAATTAAAAATTGAGATGGAAAAAACGAAATAATTTTGCAATTTTTCGGTTTAGAATTTTCCGAGATTTCAATTTTTCATTTTTTAATTGTTCCACATAAAATTAAATAAATGTACTCAAACTGAAATTTTGAAAATCGGAAAATTGCAACATTGAAACAGAAAAATTGTAAAATTAGGAAATCGGGACATTAAAAACTAAACAATTGAAGAAAGGAAAAATTATAAAACGGAAAAATTGAAACAATGAAAAACCGAAAAATTTTTGCAAATTTGCGATTTAATATTTCTCAAGTTCAATTTTTAACATCCGTTTTTCTCGATTTTTCATTTTTTAATTTTTCGTAAAGAGGGCAAATTTATTCAAACTGACATTAAAATCGAAAATTGTAAAATTGGATCTTAAAAAAATTCAAAAATTTAAAAACCGAGAAATTAAAACACTGAAAAAATAGAGAAACTGAAAAATCGGGCAATTGGAAAATTGTAAACTTAACTGCAATTTTTTTTCGGGTTTTTTATGTTACAATTTTTCTCGATTTTTAAATTTATAGATATTTTTATTTTTCGTGTTTCCAAATTTTTTTATTTTTCAATCGATGATTTCTCAATTTCCCAATTTTTTCATTTCCGTTTTTTGAATAATTCTCAATTTTTCGATTTTTCATTTAATTATACTTATTCAACTTCTCTATTTTTTCGATTTTTAAATTTCTACACGTATTCCATTTTTAGCTTTTTTTATTTTTCTACTTTGCGTTTTTTTTTATTTTTCAACTTTCAGTTTTCCAAGTTTTCAATTGTTTAACTTTCCAGTTTTGTAATTTTTCGGTTTAAAATTTTTTCTTGTTCTCGATTTTTAAATTTTCATTTTCTCGATTTTTCATTTTTTAATTTTTTAACAAAAGAACAAATTTATTGAAACTGAATCTTGAAAATTCGGAAAATTGTGGCATTGAATCCTGGAAAAATCGAAAAATTGAGATGGAACAAAACGAAACAATTTTGCAATTTTTCGGTTTAGAATTTTCCAAGTTCTCAATTTTTCATTTTTTAATTGTTCCACATAAAATTAAATAAATGTCTTCAAACTGAAATTTTGAAAATAGAAAAATTAAAAAATCGGAAAATTGCAACATTGAAATAGAAAAATTGTAAGAGGGCAAATTTATTCAAACTGACATTAAAATCGAAAATTATAAAATTGGATCTTAAAAAAATTCAAAAATTTTAAAACCGAGAAATTAAAACCTTGAAAAAATAGAGAAACTGAAAAATCGGGCAATTGGAAAATTGTAAACTTCACTGCAATTTTTTTTCGGGTTTTTTATGTTACAATTTTTCTCGATTTTTAAATTTATAGATATTTTCGTCTAATTTTTCGATTTTTTAGTTGTTGATTTTTCAGTTATCTGATTTTTCAGTTTCATTTTTAATTTTTCAGTGTTTGGATCTTTCAAAATTTTGATTTACAATTTTTTTCAATTTCTAGATATTTTTATTTTTGTTTTTTCAATTATCAGATTTTTCAGTTTCTCAATTTTTCGGTTTTTCAGTGTTTCGTTCTTTCAATTATACCATTTTTTGATTTTTCAATTCTCGATTTTGTAATTTCTGGATATTAGTTTCTCATTTTTCAGTGTCTACATTTTTAATTTTTCGATTTTTTATTTTTTTTATTTTCAGTTTTGCAATTTTTCGATTTTTTTTTCATTTTTTCGGGCTTAACGGTAACATTTTTCCATTCAATGGTTTCTTTGTTTTCCAATTTTTCGTTTTTTTTTCCTAATTATTTTTATTTTTCGTGTTTATAATTTTTCGATTTATCAGTTGTTGATTTATCAATTAACTGATTTTTTAACTTCTCTATTTTTTCGATTTTTAGAATTTTTAAAGATTTTTAGATTTTCGATTCCCAATTTTTCGGCTTTTTGATTTCTATATATGTATTTTAATTTTTCGATTTTTCAGTTTTCCGAGTTTTAATTTTTCGACCTCTCAAATTTTCAAATTTTTAGTCATTCTATTTTTGGCTTTTTATATTTTCTATTATACAATTTTTTGAGTTTTCAATTTTCTAACTTTCTAGTTTTGGAACTTGGATTTTAAATTTTTTCTTGTTCTAGATTTTTAATTACTCATTTTCTCGATTTTTCATTTTTTAATTTTTCAACAAAAGAACAAATTTATTTATTGAAACTGAATTTTCGAAAATTCGGAAAATTGCAGCACTGAAACCTCAAAAAATCGAAAAATTGAAAAATTAAAAATTGAGATGGAAAAAACGAAACAGTTTTGCAATTTTTCGGTTTAGAATTTTCCAAGTTCTTCATTTTTCTATTTTTAATTGTTCAATTATTCAAACTGAAATTTTTGTATCCAATTTTTCGATTTTTCATTTGATGATTTTCAATTATCTGATTTTTCAATTTCTCCATTTCGTCAATTTTTCGATTTTTAGATTTTTGATTCTCAGTTTTTCGATTTTTAAATTTTCGTCTTTTCAAATTTTCGATTTTTCAGTCATTCCATTTTTGGCATCAATTTTTTAACTTTCCAGTTTTGGAACTTTTGCATTTAAAATCTTTTCTTGTTCTAAATTTTTAATTTTTCACTTTTTTGATTTTTCATTTTTCTACAAAAGAACTAAATTTATTGAAACTGAAGTTTCGAAAATTCGGAAAATTGAAAAATTAAAAATTGAGATGGAAAAAACGAAATAATTGTGCAATTTTTCGGTTTAGAATTTTCTGAGTTTTCAATTTTTCATTTGTTAATTGTTCCACATAAAATTAAATAAATGTATTCAAACTGAAATTTTGAAACTCGAAAAATTGAAAAATCGGGAAATTGCAACATTGAAACAGAAAAATTGTAACATTAGGAAATCGGGACATTAAAAACTAAACAATTGAAGAAAGGAAAAATTATAAAACGGAAAAATTGAAACAACGAAAAACCGAAAATTTTTGCAAATTTGAGATTTAATATTTCTCAAGTTCAATTTTTAACATTCGTTTTTCTCGATTTTTCATTTTTTAATTTTTCGTAAAGAGGGAAAATTTACTCAAACTGGCATTAAAATCGAAAATTGTAAAATTGGATCTTAAAAAAATTCAAAAATTTAAAAACCGAGAAATTAAAACATTGAAAAAATAGAGAAACTGAAAAATCGGGCAATTGGAAAATTGTAAACTTAACTGCAATTCTTTTTCGGGTTTTTTATGTTACAATATTTCTCGATTTTAAATTTAAAGATATTTTTATTTTTCGTGTTTCCAAGTTTTTTTATTTTTCAATCGATGATTTCTCAATTTCTTTATTTTTTCATTTCAGTTTTTTGAATAATTCTCAATTTTTCGATTTTTCATTTAATTCTACTTATTCAACTTCTCTATTTTTTCGATTTTTAAATTTCTACACATATTCCATTTTTAGCTTTTTTATTTTTTCGATTTTGCGTTTTTTTTTTTTTTTTCAACTTTCAGTTTTCCAAGTTTTCAATTTTTTAACTTTCTAGTTTTGTAATTTTTCAGTTTAAAATTTTTTCTTGTTCTCGATTTTTAAATTTTCATTTTCTCGATTTTTCATTTTTTAATTTTTTAACAAATGAACAAATTTATTGAAACTAAATCTTGAAAATTCGGAAAATTGTGGCATTGAATCCTGGAAAAATAGAAAAATTGAAAAATTAAAAATTGAGATGGAAAAAAACGAAACAGTTTTGCAATTTTTCGGTTTAGAATTTTCCAAGTTCTCCATTTTTCATTTTTTAATTGTTCAACATAAGGACAAATTTATTCAAACTAAAATTTTTGTTTCTAATTTTTCGATTTTTCATTTGATGATTTTCAATTATCTGATTTTTCAATTTCTTCATTTCGTCAATTTTTAGAATTCTCAACTTTTTGATTTTTAGATTTTTGATTCTCAGTTTTTCGATTTTTAAATTTTCGACTTTTCAAATTTTCGATTTTTTAGTCATTCCATTTTTGGCTTCAATTTTTTAATTTTCCAGTTTTGGAACTTTTAGATTTAAAATTTTTTCTTGCTCTAGATTTTTAATTTCTCACTTTTTTGATTTTTCATTTTTCTACCAAAGAACTAAATTTATTGAAACTGAAGTTTTGAAAATTCGGAAAATTGAAAAATTAAAAACTGAGATGGAAAAAACGAAATAATTTTGCAATTTTTCGGTTTAGAATTTTCTGAGTTTTCAATTTTTCATTTTTTAATTGTTCCACATAAAATTAAATAAATGTATTCAAACTGAAATTTTGAAAATCGAAAAATTGAAAAATCGGAAAATCGTAACATTGAAACAGAAAAATTGTAAAATTTCGAAATCGGGACATTAAAAACTAGAACAGTTGAAGAAACGAAAAATTATAAAACGGAAAAATTGAAACAACGAATAACCGAAAAATTTTTGCAAATTTGCGATTTAATATTTGTCAAGTTCAATTTTTAACATTCGTTTTTCTCTGTAATTTTTTATTATACAAAATCGTGCATTTTTGCATCATTTTTGACAATGTATGAAAGGAAATGAATGACTTAAGAAATTACATAAAATTATTTATTAATACCAAAAATATGTACAATTAAATTAACACAGTTCGCGCTACTTCTTTTTGTTTAAAGTTCTTTGTTTTTCCCCGTGTACCACCACCTGCTCTTCCACGTGCAATCCTTTCCTCTTCCGTATCGCTTTTCTTAGTTTCATAGCCCTAACGGCTGACTCCACATTCACGTCTTCCTCGTCCTCATCGTCATCCACGGGTTCATAAAAAGGGTCACCGTCGATAATCTCAAAGTGGCTAAATTTGAGAGTGGGTATCGCTTGTCCGGAAGTAGTTTTTCTGATCTCGTTGGCAAACCCGGTACTTTCGACTACTGGAATTTGAGCCTTCACCAGGAAGCTTTTCTCTTGTTCATCCATACCCACAGCGTCTAGAACTTTCCCATGCCTTTTACTCACAACTGAGTAAACTTTACCCAAAATATTGGTATTGACTTGGATACTTGTGGTAAAAATGGGCTCCATGAGTCTCTGTTGTTGTTTCTCAAAGGCTTCCCTAAACGCGCTACTCAAAGTAGACTCTATATTCACGTTAGTTTTAGTTGTACCATCTAAAACTTCGTCATGTACTACTTCAAACTTCTTTATTAGGAAAGCACACCCTTTGAGGGGTTCTTCACAAAGAGGACCTGCTTTACAACAACTATTGAAGGCGTTGACTACGAAATGGTCAAAGCAGGACCTCTGATCATGTTCGTCTAGAGTTTCAAAGAGATTTCGTCTATAGTCAGTCGTGGTGTTGATCAGAAGGTTAATACTGTCGCTCATTCTACCCACACTCCAGATGTTGTTCTTTAAGTTGCACCAGATACCTTTACACGAGTCTAAACTTGAGTTTAATTGGTCTCTAGTGTGTTTCAAAGCTGCATTCATTGCTTCACTTTTGAAACTTTTGGCAGTTGGAGCTTTCAACTCCTCTGGTTTATGGTCACGCTTGGCGAAAAGCTCAAAACCGCTAGTCTGTTGAAGCTCCTCTGCCGCACTCAGTACTTTAAAGCTCTTTTCAACTTCGTTGGACACAGCGTCAGGGAGGGCCACGACGACCACGGTTAGACGAATCTGGGAAGCTTCAACCGTGACCGAATTCTCTAGGTCTCTTTTAAAATCGCCTTTACTAGTTCCATGGGTGATGGTTTCCCTCAGAGACACCATAGGACTCGAAACATTGATTTCTATTTTTGCAAATTTCGTAGTTAGGTCTTCTAGACACTTCGCTAGATGAACATCACCAGCAGTTAGAAGAACATACTCTCCAGTTTCTTGAATAATGACTTGAACACACGAATCGCTTTGCATTAAAGTTCTTAAACCTTGACGCAAAACTGGGAGCTCTTTTGGGTTTGATGCTTCTATGGCGTTTCGGACGATGGGTGGCTGGGATGGGTGTTCTATAAATGGGACGCAGTGAAGGGTCGTGGAAAGCGTGGCAGTTCTGACGATTGATGATTCCAGACCACCTATACCACAAACATTCCCAGCTGCTATAGTATCCACTAAGACTAACTCGCGCCCGAAAAGCATATACAGCTCTTGGATTTTAACCAATTGAGCGCCTTTACCACTAGAAGTCTCATCCGGTGCATATTGTGGCGAAAAAACGTAAATTTCTTGCCCGGTTTTTAAAGATCCGCTGAAAACTCTCGCTAGTGCAATTATCGAAAAATCCTTTTCGTCAACTTTAGTTTCTTCTTTTTCTTCATCAGTACTCGCTTTTGGTTGTTCTTTTTCCGCTTCCTTTTTTTCGCTAGTTTGGTCTCTATTTCTTGGTTTAGGCACGAACGTTTTTGGTTGGTTTTGCGACAAATTTTTCTTATCGACGCAGAACATTTTAGAAACGTAGGACACACAAGGCCCGGTTTCATCCGAGTTTTGGAAAACCGTCACCAGTTTGTCTAGACAGCTCCTGTGGAATTCGTTCTCGCAAAACCTGTTATAGTCCAACAAGTATTTAATTTTTTCGTCGCTGATGTTCGACGGAGGAGAAATAATTTTCATACACTGGTGGATAATAATTTCAGCTAGAGGGCTCCAAGATTGCATTATAGCCCGTAGTTGGATTTTCGAATCCGTGTGGTTCATTTCGCGGGTCGTACCAACAATATTTAGTTTTTCCGCAATCAAACTAACTTTATCTTTTTGCATTTGTATGACTATCGTTGAATAAATATGAAAAATAGTTTTCAAACACAGTTGGATGAATAAATTCGTTTTACCCTTTTCAATACCCCCTAACTTAATTGTATTCGTTTTAGAGTCAACATAGGCGTCAAAGTTCCACAATTTCGTATTTAACGACTCCACACTCTCATTCTTAAGCGTTTTAATAAAAATTTTCGAAATCTGTTTAGTGGTAAAGCCCCACCCATCAATCGCACTAGCAAAAATAACATTACCTACGTCCGGCGAAAACAACAATCCCGTGTCTTCAATATCCACCTCACTGTCACAATATTCGTACTGATACAACTCCGCCACAATCGCGTTACAGTCTTCAATAGCGCGCAACACACACTGGAAAATCTCGTTCACGTCTTTGTGCAATTCTACAATTAATTTATCCATTTTGTTTAACACGAGCACCATTTTGCACCGCTCTGTGAAGGCTAATTTTATCGCTTCTCGGGTTTGTACGCACACCCCTTCGACCAAATCCACGACAATCAAAGCCCCGTCGCACACCCGCAAAGCCGCGCCGACTTCGGTGGAAAAGTCAATATGTCCCGGGGTGTCGATCAGGTTTAGGAGGAGAGGTTGTTCCTCGTTTGTGTCTTCGTCGTCTACTATGTTTAGTAGCGACACTGTGCTGCTCTTCATCGTGATTCCGCGTTCTTGTTCATCTAGCCGGTCGTCCAAGTAGCGGATTTGGCCGGCCATGCGTTTGCTTACGAGGCGGTTGGTTGCGAGTAAAGAGTCTGCGATTGTGGTTTTGCCGTGGTCTACGTGAGCTAGGATGCACACGTTTCGGATGCAGCGGGTTTCTTTCATGCATTGTTGGAGGATTTCGAGGGGCGGTCGCATCGATGCCATGCTGGAAATAATTGGGTTTAATAAGAGGGTTGGGGATAAATCGTGGACTTACTTTTTTAGCTGGCAAATTGTAAGTGGAACAAGTGTGGGGAGCGAGAGTTTAAATAGAGGTTATGTCGTATCAGCTGTCAATTGTCACGCACGTGTTTGGTTGTTAAGGGGGGGTTTACATTTGTGTTCAGAGTTGCATTCACACAACACGTCATTTTTTTTAGTGTTAAATCATAATTTTGGATATGTGCAAAGTTTCAAACGATTTCACAAGATTTCAAATTATTTTTCGTGACGCTATCAAGGTACTTATCAAGATATAGGACTTTTACCATGTTGTGCAATAAAATGGTGGAGAGAATTAACAAATTAATATTTTCATTTTACTTTAATTTTACGAAGTATTATTTTTATTTCTAAGCGAAATTTGAACACTATTCTTGTTTTATGCATATTGTGCAAATGAAGAGTACTACTGGATTCGAGAAAAATAAAAAAATGTCCACCTGATGAAGGTAAATACTGTGTGGCGAAACATGTTACTTGGCTGTCTCCTATCATTTAAAATAATTTAAAATGGAGTGTATTGTTCATTAAAAACTAGTAAACTATCAAGATTTATAAGGCCTTGACAGTGAATTAACAATTTATTAAATTTAAAAAATTAAATATTTATATTAGAATAACTGCAACCAACTATACAAAAGTTTTAATAGTACATTATGGAACTAGTGGATGAAGTTGAATTTCAACGGCGAGAGTGATTTTTTCACACGAGCGAGTGCAACGAGCGAGTGCGAAAAAGAAACTCGAGCCGTTGAAATTTCTTCATCCGCGAGTTGCATATACTATTTTTTCTAAGAAATTAGGAAATAAATGTTTGTTTATGGTAGGTATTTTATTTTTGAAATACATTAACTGTAATAGAACAATTTGTGCAATTATCACCAATAATATTTACACTTTTATCGTAAGTATTATTTGAACTTGTATCTTTGTTTAAACTTAGTTGGCTGCTTCCTGTATCAATAACTGCACTTGTATCAGATTCGAAAATGCCGCATTGGCAGCATTCAAAATTTCTTCAGAAACTTCGTCAGTCTCACTCATGTTCATTGTTTTCACTTGTGTAAACTAGCAGTATTAAACGTCAAACACTAACGGGTCGTCCAGCCTAGGCGTCATGATTTTCGAAGCGCGCGAAGCGGACGGTGCGGTCGGTGCAGGCGATACGCGACACGTTTCGCTAGCTGCGAAACGCTCAGGCTGGACGACCCGTTAAAATCGTAGACGGCCGAGTATTTTTCCACTAGAGGGTGAAATGAAATTTCATCCACTGCCAGCGATGGGAAAATGACAAACTTCAACCTTAATGAGTAGAAAAAATAATTTTTTACACGCTTATAACTGTACTGTTATGTTTTTTTAGTTTAATTTGCTTAATTACACTATTGTTGTTTTCATTATTTTATGTTCTTTGTCGTTAACTTTTGTCTGCAATTTTATAAATAGAATTAAAGAAACATGAAAACAATTTATGACCGGACTTTCTAAAAGTTTTTGTTTGAAATTTTGTTGTTGTTTTCTGAAAATTTTCGTTTAGTGGTTTTATAATAATTACAAGTTTATGAAACTTACAGTAAGTCCTTCATCTTTTCACAATCTATTAATAATTTAAATAAATAATTTAAAACTAAAATAAGTAATTCATCACTTTTATAACTATATTAAACTTTATAATTTTTACTTCCCGAGAGTAGGCTAAGGAAGTATAGTATTCGAGTTCATCGGGTGACTCCCTACTTTTATGTTTTCTCGGCCTTTCTTAACCCCTGGACTACAAAGAAATAGATCTCCTGTTTCCGTCTATCTGTCTGAATTTTTATTAAGATAGATAATTTCCGAAATTACTCGACCGATTGTAACCACATTCAATCAAATCCAAGTGTTGTTTAAAATGTTTAATGTATTTCAGAACATGTGTATTTGAGTACGCTAAATTTGCAGAATTCTGGAATAAACTTCAAAATTGAATAAATTATACAATAGTATATATTTAACGATTCAAATTCGGCCAATGCAGGGCCGGCTTGTCCTATTAAGTACGTGAGGCAACGTTTTCTCGACCTTTCATGACGCCTACAGGGCGAAGAAATAGGTCTCCCGTTTCCATCTGTCCGTCTGCCGTCCCGGATTTTTATTAGACAGATAATCTCCAAAAATAACATAGTCCTAAACATGTAGTTTATGACTCCGAAAAGAGTTTTTACCCAAAACGTCCAGATTTTTGGAAAACAAAATCAAAATTATAAAACAACATTTTATAATTTAATTTTGAATCTGCAAAACCGAATGTTTTGAAATCTTGCAGATGTTTTAAAGTTATCATAAGCATGGTAAATTTTTGATCAAAATGTATTTGCTCATCTCCCCTAAAAAATTGATGACGTCATCCCAAAATTTTACTGAATAAACCCTATCTAAAATGTACAAAATATGATGAGTCTGTACTTGTGATTTATCATTCCATTAATATTTTTTGGATTGACATATACAGGGTGACTCAAAAAAAAGTGATTGTATTTCAGGAGCGAGGGAAGTTCTGTCGAAACAACTTTCGACCAATTTTTATTATTTCTCATCGATACATTGCCACCCAATTTTTTTTTCTATTATTTTAAAAATAAACGTGAAAAATTATAGTTATTCTTATCTTGGGAATCTAGAAGAAACTGGAAGAATCTGAAACAGTCTGCAGGGATCTGAAATGATCTGGAAAAATTTAAATGAATTTGAGAACATTTAAGGGAATGTGAGAGAATTTGAGAGGGTTTGTAAGAATCTGAGAGAATCTCGAAGAATTTAGCAAAATCTAAAAGAATCTAGAAGAATCTGGAAGAATCTGGAAGAGTCTGTAAGGATCTGAAAGGATTTGTAAGGATCTCAAACAATCTGAACAGAAGAAAAATGTTAAAGAATCTTGAGGATTTCGATTCAAAATAAGGAAAAGTCGTAAAGAAAATGAAAGAATCTGAAAGAATCTGGACCAGTTTGCAGCAGTCTGAACCAATGTGGAAGAATCTTGAAACGATTTGTTGCGATATTTTAATTGTTTAATGTTCTAAATTTTAGATGTTCTTATTTTCGATTTTTTGATTTTTCATTTCTTCAGCACATATATCTAGTTTTCGATTTTTCAAATTTTGACGATGCTAAATTTTCAGTTTTCCGATTTCTCAATTATTCTATTTTTAATTTTTCCATTTCTCAACTTGTCGAAGTTTTGATTTTCCAGTTCATCAATTCTTCTATTTTTCGACTTTACTTTTTTGGTTTTTATTTCAGTTTTGGAATTTTCCAATATTCTGATTCTCCGATTTTTCAATTTTTGGGCTGCTGGATTTTTCGATATTTTATTTTTTGGATTTTCAGTTTTTCGTTTTTTTAACTTAAGAGATTTCCATTTTTCGACATTTCGATATTCTAATTTTTCAATTTTCCGAATTTTTAAATTTTCGATTTTTCAGTTTTTTTGATCTCGATTCGGATGTTTCGATGTTTTAATTGTGCAATCATCTACTTTTGAATTATCCGATTTTTCAATTTTCCACATTTTTAAATTTTCGAGTTTCGAGTTCCCGACATCTTGATTTTTCAATTTTTCCATTTTTAAATTTTAATCGTCGAATTTTTATTTTTTGATATTTTGATGTTTTTCAGTTTTACGATATTTTTCAATGTTTTAAATTTTGGATTTTTCGATTTTTCGAGTTTTCTGTTCTATATTTTAATTTTTGAGATCTCGATTTAACGAGATTCGGATGTTTCCATGTTATGATTGTGCAATCTCTCGCTTTATCGATTTTTCCATCGTTAAATTTTAGATTTTTCGATTTTGGCGTCTTTCGCTTTCTCAATTTTTCGACTTTCGACCTTTCGACTTCTCGACTCCTCGATTTCTCGATATTTTCGTTTTTTGATTTCTCAATGTCTCAATTTTTGAAATTTTCAATGTTTCAATTTGTCGGTTTTTCGATTTTTGCTTTTCGGCTTTTCGATTTTTGGATTTTTGAATTATCCGATTTTTCATTTTTCCAAATTTTTAGATTTTCGCGTTTCGAGATTTCGATTTCTTGATTTTTCAATTTTTCGATTTTTAAATTTTAGATTGTCGAATTTTTATTTTTTGATGTTTCGATTTCTGCATTTTTCAATTTCACTATATTTTAATTTTTAAATGTTTTAAATTTTGGAGTTTTCCGATTTCTCAATTAATCTACATATTTTTTAATTTTCCCATTTCTCGACCTCCCAAAGTTTCGATTTTTCAGTTCTTCAGTACTTCAATTTTTCGATTTTTCAGGTTTTTGATTTTCAATTTTTCGATTTTTTAAGTTTGCGATTTTTCGACTTTGCTTTTTTGACTTTTCGATTTCTCAATTCTTCAATTTTGTGATTTTTCAGTTTTTGATTCTTTAATTTTTCTTCAATTTTTCAACTTTTCAGTTTTGTAGGATTTCGACTTTTCGATTTTTCGAGTTCTGGATTTTTCGATTTCTCGGTTTTTTACTTTTTCGTTTTTAAACTTTGGATTTTTCAAATTTTCGACTGTTTTATACTTCGATTTCTCAATCTTTCAATTTTTCGACATTTTAACTTTAATCAGAAATAGTTTCCATTTTAACGGAAAGTTGCTCAGAATCACGAATTAATTATGCTATTTTGACGATATTTGCTCAAATACTTAATAGAGAAAAACGATTTAGCTTTATATCAGAATTTTCACCCAGTTTTTTACGAAAACTGAAGTTGCTCAAATCAATTGAAAAATGTGCGAATGGTCTCTGTATTGTTTTGTATTTTTAATCTAATTTGCTTCAAAATTGTACATAGCAAATGGGTTTTAAATTGTATAAAATAACATAGTCCTAAACATCATCCGCAGCGAAACGAGCGAGTGAACATGTCTTCTAACGCTCTTGTATGTTTACACTGTAGGGTCAAAGCCGTGAAGGGGCCTAAATGTGTAAATTGTGAAAGAGTGTTTCATCCGAAGTGTGTTGAACGTTTAAATGTAATTGTTTTAAATAGTGAGCAAGTTATTTGTTGCAAACAATCGCAAGATACGCAAGATGACAGTGACGTCGTTATCAAGTTCTTAAAAAGTGATG